ATTTATACGGTTTTTGTTTCTAATTCAATCCATATTCGCCAGAAGCAACAAACAAACAAACCCCTGTAGGATCCTGTTAGGGAAAACAACCTCGGAACAAAACGGGTTTTGCGATGAATATACGGAAAGCAGCCGCATTATATAAAAAGAGCAAGTAAAACAAAAGGTTTAAAGAAAAACGCGCAAAGTCAAATAACTTACAGTGACAGAAAATACGCGCAAAACAAGGCAGGAAGCAGAAAATCAGTGAGGATTAAGGGCAGTCTGTGTTTTGAACGCCCCAGACTCCGCCCCCCCGTGACGTCACTCTGTCTATTGAACAGAAATGTGTTAGTGGGTCAGACATACGGGACCCATCACACAAAATGGTCGAGCCTTCGCTGGAAATGGAAGATTTTTTCCCAGTGTTTATCAAGAAAGTGTTTGTTCAGCTGCTGAAATAAAACGGGGCTGTTTAAGGTTTGAGTTGATCCTGCCCAGAGCCAGACTGCATGTCTACAACAGCAGCTCCTCTGCTGCCTGCTGATTATATCTTATATAATATTCACTCACAGCCTGATATGTTTGTTATACATTAACAACGACTATAGGGATTTTAAATCAGGACAATTCACTCAAATGTAGGGCCTATCAAACCCTGATTAGTCTGACACCTTCTCACTTCTCGTTTAATTCCACGATAGGACACTGAACGGGCCTGCAGGGCACAGGCCCAGGGGCACAAGTTGTTAAGGAGCCCCCTGGATCAAAGCGTCTGTTTAAAGTGACTGTTAACATCCCTTTTCAGAAATACAATCAAAGGACCTACTAAGAGACACAAACTGACTAAAGAGTCACAAACCCCTCTCATCCTTTTACAGTTCTGTGCCCAAGGGCCCATTATCTCTTAATACCTCCATTATTTATTCATATTGATTTAATTGGCATAACTGCCCTTAAACAGATTTGTATGATCCTCAAGAATTTTGTGGTTTCAGTGTCATATTTAACGTGTACTATTTATTAGATATATGATGTTAATCTATTTTCTTTAAAATCTATTTTCCCCAACTCCACCCCTCCCACTTGTGTTTCCATATGGGTTTATCGATTGCTTGGTTCCTAACTGCCCGATCGTTCAGTGTTTGTGTGTACATATTTGCGAGTCTATTATTGTTTGTTATATGAAATGCCTGATGAAGATTGACTGAGCTGTAGCTGCTGACATACATGCCATTAGTTTTGACATTGTGTGTGAGCTGATTTTTGTTTATTGACATTGAAGCAGCAGCTTGAAAAGAACCTTTTTTCTTTCTTTTTTTTCCTTCGCCTGTATAAAGAACATTGATAAACTACACATTTCTTTTGCTATACTGTATGGACCGCTATAACACAATTTAAACTGATAGGGCCCTCATCCTGAGGTCCTGTCTTAAAAAACAGGCCCAATGTTTTGAAACCAGAAAAAAAAAAAATCACATTTGAGAACCTGGATTTTTGCCTCTTTTTAATCAAATTGTTGACATTTAATTAATTTTCTGCAATTTGACTAATCAATTAATCACCTAATCACTGCAGCTCTACCTGAAACAGAGGCCAACTGACCAGCACTGCCATTAAAGAACCAGAACCAGATGCACTTGAAGCACTTACAGGTATGTCTCATACTAACACTGTAGTATCTGCTTATGATGTATTTAATGTAGTAATTAATAATTATGTCTGTCAGTATATCTGTCACTAGATAATACATGGGTGGTATTCTTGCCAACTGCATGTGTACTGAACAGAAAATTATTAAGGAGTTATAATATATACATTTTTTTTTATAAAAGTCTGTATATAGTGGGAGGCATATATCATGTAACCTCTCACACTCACATAACCTACCAGGATACATATCATGCACTATGGTAGAGATGAACATAAAAATATTCTCTAGCCTATCTGTGTCCTTTCACTTTCTTTTGCTTCCTCTTGTATTTACTGATAAGAAAAGTAGTATTGAAGTATTATCAGGACATCGCAGCACCGCCCTAAACTGGTTGTTTTTACTATCAGTTCGCAACTGATAATGAAACTAAACCTCATACTTTCACCATCCTCAAAATAACAAAACAAACACCACGGGTGCAACTCTGGAAAATGTTGCAATCCTCATTCAGTATTGCTCAGTGGCATTTTTTTTTTTTTTTTTGACACAGTGGCTTGTTTTCACTTTTGTTCCACATAATCTGTTTGTGGCGACCCTTGGTTATAGAAACTGATGGACGAAAACACACTAGAGATTGTGGTCTTTTAATAAATAGTCAGTTTTATCTAGTTTTATTCAGTTTTCATTACACCGTACATTATAAAGGACAATGGCTAAATGCCAAAAGCCCTTCTGTCTCTCTTGACAAATATCAATTGAAATACGTAATTTTTATAATAAACTATTCTGTGATTCTTTAAAATTGCAACTAAGAAAAGAAAATTACTATTAATTGCTATGATAGTAAGAATTCACACAAACAAGTGAGTTTTTAACGTCCTACAAATACTGATCTAGAGCATGAAATGACCATAATACACAAATTACAATATATAATAATTTGAAATGAAACAACACATGCTGACTCTCCCTTTTAATTTAATGGTGTCTGTCTCCACATCAGATGAGTAATGTAGGGATTACATGTTAGATATTACATATTCTCACTATTTTTGGTTGTTTTGGCAGAACTTTTTATTATTCTGGGACACTATGAGTCCTACATAGTTCAACCAACATGAATCTGCTCACCCTCAAACATCCTTGAAGCTGAAAGTCAGAAGACATTATGGATATTTAAGGACCTCAAACTAAAGCTAGAATATGAGATATGACAATGTCATGATATTTGACATGAAACATGTCTTGTATGTTTCAGTGGCTTTGAGTCTTGTCTTTTCGTTCACTGCGGTCGTTTTCAAAAAGACCCCAATGACTTCAGAATAATCCAGGTACAATGCAGGGCAGATTATACAACAGTGTCAAGTAAACACAATGTGACGTAGACAGTCCAGCAAAGATTGACAGGTGCAGATTTATAGATGTATTTATATTTAGACATGTATTTATCCCCCAAAAAGAGATATGTATCAAAGGGTTTACCTTGTAGTATTTTTTTTCATTTTAAAACCAATGTACTGCAGTAGTGTCAAAATAATGAGAAATGTGTAGCCGTCTAAATATTTATGACCTGTTCTTTTAACTTATTAGCATGGTGTTATAATAACATCTTAAGTCATCATTCATGTGGGATCTTCACTTTAATTAGCCTTAGCTTTATCATTGTTATCTCTGAAGTATGAATGAATTATTTATGTCGATTAGAGGCCATTGAGCTGTGCCAGAGACCTGTCAAGAGTTCTGCTTTCTCAGTCCCTGATGGAGGTCAGCAGTAAGACTGCTTCATGCCACTTTATACTGACTAACTTTTAGGGATCGGATTTTGTTGTACACATTGCAGACTTTGCCACAGTCCATTAATAATATTGTAAATATTGTCTCTGACGGAATTAACACCGATGGATAAAGCACGCATTTGTGTTTCTCGGTTTCCTGGCAGCTTCTCTTGCTTGTGGTTTGTGTCAGGAAGCCTCAGAGACGACTTTCAGAATTGCTGGAGTCCATAACACCCACAGTCAACAAACCTCACACAGCCGACTGATAAAACACAAAGTTGAGCAGTGTGTCTGAGCCGAGGTCACGACAGGAATGTTGATAAGAAAAGATGGTCGCAGCGAAACTGCATATCTACACGTTGACAGAGTGTAAGAGCCAGTGGGAACACAGTGGTTGAGTACTGTATCAACTCAGGCTGTGTTTGACTTAAACACACTCTGAGAGCTTGAGATGAGAATGTTGAGATTTATGATAAAAAGGTTGTTCCTCACATGCATCCTTCTCTTTATCTGCCTCTCTCACTGTGTGAGCTTCTTGCTCTCCTCATTTGCCTCCATTCCCTGCTTTCTGAAGTGTATCTCATGCAGAATGTCATGATTGCTTACTGCTTCCGCTGATCAGACATTTTTGCATGTTTGCACAGTAATGTGTGTGTTTACATTCCATCACTCTCCAATCACCGGTGGGAAATGCGACTGGGCGGAAAACTGTTGATATTCATGGTTCTGAGTGTCAAGCTGCTACCTGATGGTACATAGCAGCAACTGTATCACTCAGTTCAGGCTGTTTTTAAAGTGGTTTTGTGTTGCCCTGACAGAAACGGCGTTATGCTGCAGATTCCTATAAGAGCCAGGCTAAAAATGAATACACTAATGGCATTGCAGTGCTTCAATCAAAAACATCGACAAATATGTTGTTGTTCTTGGTTTTTTTTGTCTCAAGCAAAGAAACAAACAAACAAACAAACTTTGTTTTATCACTGAAGAATACCTGTAAATTAAAGGTAAGGATTGGTGATGTTCTATAATTTTCTTATAGTTAACAAAGCCCATATAAAGATCAAAACCAGCAATGACTACTGTCAGCCCACAGACAAAACTTGTTAGTCGGATCAATTCATTGTTTGGTTTGGTTTTTCCATGGCAGTTATTGGCAACAAGCAGACGCCTAATCAATCATAAGTTTTACAGTTATAACAATAATCATTATAATTAATGTATCACCTATATTGTAATATTATTACATTTAATCTAGCAAAGAAGGGTGTGAAATGCAGTTGAAAGGGCAGGCAAAAACATAGTAAGTGGACCCTGATTATTATCATTATCATGACAAAGTAAGAATTTTTAAGTCGTTTTCTCCCTTTAACATGTGATGCTAAATTTGAGCATTTCACATACCGAACAACTTATTACCTAAATGAAATTGATTAAACATTTATCAATTGTTAAAAAGAAATGTAGATTGAAACCATGAATGTGGTGGGGTATGTGTGTGGTGAGGAACAATAGTTTTCCAAAGAGATACAGTAACATGCTGCATGAATATTTTCTTTCGCACATATCCTCTTGTTGTATCAAATGCTAATGTGGAATCCAGTTAGAAAATTTACATATACAAAGTTTAAAAGATCATTAAACATTGAATTATCTGAAAGGAAAACATATATAATCACTTACAATGCTACAGTATATTCACAAGGGAGCCAAGCTGGACTGCTTGTATGAGAGATGAAAAGACTTACAGAGCCTCGGGGGTTCACTGGCTTCAACTTCTTGGATCCTAAGTGTGAAACAGAAAAAGGAGACTCTACATGTTTAGTTTGATGTCTCAGTGATGGTTTGAGCAGAGTCT